TCGGCTTCCGAGGAGCGCGGGAGGTCTGGGGGGGGGGGGGCGGGAGGGCGCCCGACGGGGGGCCCGCCGCCTCCGCGGGAGCTCGCAGGCCTCCCGGGAGAACCGCCGCGCAGCCGGACTCGACTGGACAGGTCACGGGAGGGGGCGCAATAGGGCCCTTCCGAGGGCCGCGCTGCCAGGGGGATGTCGGAGGCGCGGGCCGCGAGACACGGGGCGCAAGGGCACCCTCGATTTGGCAGGGTCGACCTGCCAATCAGAAGTGAAGGCAACGCAACAAAACGGCCCCAAGCCGGCCAGGGCGGCACCCGGGCCCGCTCATCTTAGAAGCGAAGTCACAACCCCGTAAATGCGACCCGGGCTGCTCCCCGGCAGCGCGGCCGCAATGTTTCAAGATCTCCCCCATGCAGACCCTGCAGCTCTTGAGCATGACGCGGGCGCGAGCTTGCTTCATCCGCAGTGCACTTCGTCGGCGCGGAGTCCCCTGGTTGCCGTTCTGCGCCATCGACAACGGACCGCAGTCCTGCGAGAACCATCCGAGCCGGGGTCGCTTCTCTCTGATCGTGGCCAACACCTTGTCGAGCCCTCTGCGTCTCGTGAGGTCGCAGCCGCCGTACGAACCACATCTCATAGCATCATAGCAGCCCCACCGTGTTCGATGACTGTCTTGGCGAAAAGGCTATCGGCTGGAGCGCGCACCTCCAGCAGGTCGAATCGATCGCAAATGTCCTCCAAGTCCTCGGCGATGTTGACCTCTGCGCCTTTTGCGTCGTGCCTGACTTGGCTGAGGCGCCGCGCCGAGACCTGAAAGCTGGAGGTGCAAATACCCCTTGGTAGATTATCTCCGCCTTGGGCTTGCTGAGAAGCCCATGCCAGCCATTGCCGCGCCCGGGCAGGAGGCCCCCGTGCAGTCCCTGGTCTGCCTTCTCCTCGCGCTGCGTCATGAAGGCGAACCCGTGGCCGAAACGGGCCCGGCGGGACTGGCGGGCTGCGAAGTTGGACTTGCCCAGCTGACTCCGCCTCGCAATTGGCCTCGACGGCTGCCAGTCCCAGTTTCTCGCGCGGCGCCACGCCCGCTGGATCTCGCGGCTCCTCGGAGGCACTGGCTGCTCGGGGAGGTCCTTGCTGGATGAGGCTCGTGGCCGAAGGACTGGCTCGACTGTCGCCGAGGCCTCGTCGCCCGTCGGGGCCCCCCGTGCAGCCGCCGACTTGGGCGACGGCGTCGGGCTCGAAGATGGAGACTTCGGCCTGGAGGTCGAATCGGACGCGCTGGCTCCCGGGGCGGCTGCCCCCGTCTCGGGAATCCATTTGACTTCCATGATATTCAGGTTGTCGTGGAACTCCTGGGGCATCTTCCCGATGTCCTGAAAGGCCAGGCCCGCGACCGTCATCTCCTCCAGGTAGCGGTGGAAGACCAGGGCCAGCTCCCCCAAGCCTGCGCAGCTCGTCGGACCCTTCTTCTTGCCCGGCATCTCCCGAGCAGCCTGGCCCAGCTGCTTCTGTCACTTCGGCGTCGTCTCGTAGTAGACCGACTCTGCTGTTGGCTGAGATGCCGAGTGCCTCGCCCGCCCCGTCGAAGGCACGGCCGGGCCCGCCCGCCATCTTTTTTACCCAAGTAATTCAGCGCCTGGCCGCGCCCATCGCCCTTCACGCCCTCGGCGTTGTCGACGCGGCCGCGCGCCTGGCAGGGGAATCCGCACTCCCCCTCTGAGATGCCCCCCATCGCTGCGGCTGCTGCCGATGCGTCTTCGACCCGCTGGCGCTGCAACATCGCGCAGTCGCAGTGCTGTCGCTCGCCCGTCGGGTTCTGCAGCGCCCACTCGCTGGTCTCCTTGCGCCACTCGCAGCACGTCGGGGACTTGCACTTCTTCGCCAGGTTGACGGCGCCTCTCGTCGAGCGACTGTTGGCGGGGCCCTGCGACGGCGAGACTGGGCGCGACGCCGAAGAGCCTCGCGAGGGGGCGCCGCGCGCGCCGCGTCCCATCCAGCCCTGTGGCTGGGCATGACATGGAGAGGCCCGAGGGCCGAACGACTCGAAAGAAATCGCCGAGTCCACCTGCGGGCCCAACCTAGAAACCACGGGCGGCGCGGCGATGCGATGAGAACAACGGCACCTTTTTTAATATCCTCGTGCGCTGCGACTGCATAACTGTAGCCTCAACGGTATGATGTAGCCATTTCGGTGTATCACTTCGAGATTCCAATTAGTATGGCGAAGTGCATGATGATGATGAACATGTCGTAGGTGGTGATGATGTCGTACATGATGCTAAGGCTGATGGCGCAAGCTGCTCTGTCATGTCGTCTCCGCCGGCTTGCTCTGGCCTGCTGCAGGGCGAACTGCTTAAGACTGGCGCAGCGGTGGCAATCGGATGAAGGGGAACGAACGTGATCACCATAGCCAGGGCCGCGATCGTCGCTGCGATTGCCAAGCCTGGGGCAGACGCCTGGGCGGCGCCATTTACCGGCGCCCCTTTCTCGGCCACCGGCGGCGCCGCTGCCGCGCCAGGGCGCCGCCCCTCCCATTGAGCGGGGGCGGCAGGCGCAGAGGAGAGAGCCCCCGCCCCCTCGCGCGCGGGCGCGGCCGCGGTCGCGCGCTTCAAAATGTCGAGCACCAGGTGGCCGTTGCCGAGCGTCGCCAGGAGGAAGTCCTGCGCCAGGCTCTTGACCGCGCGCGCGCCAGTCTGGCAGTCCACGCGACAACCAAGCGAGTGCAGATGGTCCATCCCAAGTCGATTCAGGTCGGGGGCGCCCCCATACAAGCGGATTTTGGATGAAAAACGAACAATAATTACTAAACATAACCCAAAAAGGTCATAAATCATCAAAGAGTCGCCCCCATGCTATTTTCCAGAATTATGTTTGAATTTTCCCGTTGTAAAAAGACGCGCCCGACTTGAAAGTCGAGCCGGGCCAGGCTTGGCGAGGCCCGTGAAGGTCAGCATCCCGGAGACCTCCACCATGAAAGATGGAGTCGCGGTGCGTCCCATGCTGATGTCCTTGGCACCGTTCGCGAAGCAACCCCCGGCCTGGCATGTCGGGTCGGCTGTGACTAAGTCCTCGCCGTGCTGCAGGTAGATCTCGTCCTGCACCTCGTTTAGCCAGGGATGCCTGACCATGCTCTGCGAAGCACCGTTGTCCACGATCACGCGGCCGTAGAGGTCTTTCTTCGTGCTCGTCATCTGCATCGCGAACCCGATGAAATCGGAAAGTCTGGCCTGCCAGATACCTTCAAATCTGGGCAGTCCTTGGTGAGGTAGTCTGCTTGCCACACTTCAAGCGCTCCTTCACGATCGGAGTCTAACCTGACGATCCGTCCGGTCGCTAGTATCCGCGGTCACGATCAGGTGGCCTGGGCTGGTAGCCTTCCCGGTAGCCGCCACTCCCCATCGCGCCACCTCGTCCGAAAGGTCGCTGTGGAACACGATCCCGTTGAAACCCACCAGCTGGTGGAGGTCGAAGTGCTCGCTTCTGCCCACGCTATTCGTCGCCTTGCCGAGGTAGTCGAGCTCCTGGATTGTGCCGTTGCGGTCCAGTCGTGTAGTAGCGTCGGTTCGTCTTGTTCTGCATCAGAAGGTTCCGAGTCTCCTTGAACTGGGCCTGCCTCATCATCATGATGGCCTCCTGCTGCGGGTCGGTCTCGCGCCACTTCTGGTTGGTCTCGTCCGGGTCCGCCTCGTCCTCGTGCTCGTAGAAGCCGTCGGCGGCGGCGTTGCACTGGTAGTCCACGTCGTGTTCGGACAGGTCGTCATCTTCGAAGCCGAGACCGTCTACCGCGTGAGTCTCCGACCGAACTCCGTCTCGACGTCGTAGTTCGTCCTCTTGCCAGTTCCCAACCAGAGTCTTCAGGAACTTATCGCGTGTGTACTTGTGGCCGCGCTCCTAAGAGAACGCCTGCCAGCTCGGTCGGGTCCAGGCCACTTGTGTAGATTAGCGATACTCCGCGCAGCTCGGTCTCGAGGCGCTCGTTTTCGTCCTCTTCGTCTGCATGTCGAACTCGTGTGGGTACCCGTTGCAAATTGTGACACAGCTCGTGCTCTCGATTACAATAAGCGACCATGCTCTCGCCCTTCTTGCGTGTGAGCTGGTATACGTGCTGGAAAAACATCTTCATGAAGTCGGTGGGCGCCTGGTTTCCGAACTTCTCTTTGAGGTACTGAACGAGCAGCTGTGCGCTGTTATCCTTGCCCAGAGTCGTCGCATTGAACGCCACGACCTGTCCCTTATAGGCTGAACCGTCGGCCATCACGTCTATAAGGCGGGCGCCGAACAGCTGTCTCTCGTCTCTCTTGGTGCCCGATACGTACACACGAACATTCTCGATGTAGCAATCGATTGATTCTAGCCTTCCGTTCCAACGCGGTATGATGCCGCGTTCGTCATGCTGGGTCATCGATCCAAAGCGGTACTCGAACCACGTCTGAAATAAGCTCCGCTGTACCAGTATAGTAATATCGGGGATACTGCCAAGGACATCGTCGTAGACGCTTCTCATTCGTAACGATATCTTTGTTTCAGGGCCCACTGCGACGATGAGTGTAAGTATAGGTATGGGCATGGAAGAGGGCGCCTTCCGCGCCCGAAATATCGAGAGTGGCGCCTGACGCGCCTCGTCCGACATTGAAACGGGCTGGCTGTCCGTCGGCTCCAGAGTCGGCTCTGGAAACAGAGCTAAAGCGCCAGCATAACCCTCAGTGATGCACATCCCTGTGCTCACTTCCTTCTGCTCTCCCATCGTTGGTGCTGAGATGTCCTACTTGTCTCCATGCAACAGCATTCCCTCTCCTCCCTATTCTTCCACCTCCCAATGTTCCATGCACTCGCCAAGCCCGAGCCCAATCAGAAGAACCTCCTGCTCTTCCTCCTCCTCCTCCTCCTCCTCCTCCTCCTCCTCCTCCTCCTCCTCCTCCTACTCCTTCTCCTCCTCCTCCTCCTCCTTTTCCTCTTCCTCCTCCTCCTTCTCCATCTCCTCCCCCCTCTCCTCCTCCACGCGGCGGAGGCGCCCGCGTTCAGCGGCGTCGCTCCCGCCAGCGCCGCCAGGGTGGAGTGCCGCGGGGGGCGCTCAGCTCCTCGCGGAGAGTGGGGGAAGAGGAGGGCGGGGATTTATCGACCCGGGTGAATGCACATGGGGGTCAGTCAGGCTCTGCAAGATCCTGCAATATTCTGCAGGATCCTGCGCGCTAGCCCGGGTCAATGCAACCCTGGCCCTGCCGCTAGGCTGACCCCCGTTTGCACTGACCCCCGCCCCTTGAGCCCCGAGAGGAGGGGGAAAACGATTGGCCGGCTGAACGCATAAAGTGCAAGTCGCCTCCTCCCCCCTCTGCTCCCCGACCGAGGGGACAAAAGGGCCGGGGGGAAGGAAGCCTCGAGGAGGAGGAGGAGGAGGAGGAGGAGGAGGAGGAGGAGGCTTTGGAAAAACCACGAGGTGCCGATAGATACCGCTGAGCCCCAGACCTCTGCCTAAGAGCAGTCTGACCAGAATTTCGAGGCGAATCCAGCCGTGGCGACGAGGAGCGTCCCAGGAGGCTCGAAAAGCAGGCAAGGGTAGCAGTATCGGTACACGTTCCTCCTCTGATGGTGAGCGTTGGCCCCTCATGCAATCCATTGAGACCTCGGGGAACCCTCCTCCTCCTCCTCCTCCTCCTCCTCCTCCTCCTCATAATCATCACCATCACCATCATTATCACCATCATCAGCATCAGCATCATCATCATCGACATCATCATAGTCAGTATCGTCATTATCGAGGTCGTCGACGTCCTTAACATCAGCATCATAATTGTCATACTCATCATCATCATCGTCATCGTCGTCATCCACATTATCATGACCATCGTCTTCGCCATCGAAATCGTCAACGTCATCATCCTCATCGTCATCATCATCATCATCATCATCATCATCATCATCATCATCATCATCATCATCATCACCATCGTCTTCGTCATTGTCCTCCTCCTCCTCATCATCATCACACATCATCACAATCGTCATATGTCGCCGCACCGTTTGTCCTCGACGCGCCCACGTGGACGACGCGGACACCACGGCGAACCCACGGCAAGCCCTGCGTGTCGCACACAAGTAGGCAACGCCAGCACCGCGGAAAACCCATGGCAAACCCTGCATTCGAGGCGGAATTTGCAATGGTGGCCGCGGCGCCCTCTCCAAGACGGAAGGCCACCCGTCGGAACACACTGCACGGCGACTGATTCATCATCATCATCATCATCATCATCATCATCATCATCATCATCATCATCATCATCATCATCATCAGCAGCATCATTATCATCATCATCATCATCATGATCATCAGCATCACCGCATCATCATCAGCATCGCCATCGTCATCGTCCTCGTCATCGTCGTCATCATCGTCGTCATCACCATCATCACCGCCATCATCATCATCGTCGTCAATATTAGTATCATCTTCATACTCATCCTCATCATCATCCTCATCCTCATCCTCATCATCGTCATCATCATCATCGCCGTTAGCATCATCACCATCATCATCAGCATCGCCATCGTCATCAATATTGTCAGCGTCATCGTCATCATCGTAATGCGCATCACCGTTATCACCATTATCAGTCTCAATATCATGATACTCATCATTATCAGCATCAGCATCACAATCAGCATCATCATCGTCGCCGTCGCAATCACAGTCAGTACCACCATCAATATCATCGTCATCACCATCATCAGCATCAGCAGCATCATCATCATCAGCATCATCATCATCATCGTCATCGTGGTCATCGTCGCCGTCGCACCATCATCGCAATCACCATCACCATCATCATCATAAACATAATCATGATTATGTTTACCATCATCATCATCCTTATACTCATCATCATCCTCGGCCTCATCCTCATTCTCATGCTCATTATCGTCACCATCATCATCATCATCATCATCATCATCATCATCATCATCATCATCATCATCATCATCATCGCCATCGTCGCCATCATCAGCATGATCATCATCATCATTGTTATTATGATCGTTATCATCATCCTTTTACTCATCCTTATCCTCATCCTCATCCTCATCCTCACCATCGCCATCATCATCATAATCATCATCATAAACCATCATCGCCGTCATCGTCATCAACACCATTACCATAATCATTGCCATCATCAACAACATCATCAGCGTCATCGTCATCATCATAATACTCATCATCAACATGATCACCAGTATCATTATCAAAATAATCATAAAATAATCATACTCGTCATCACATCATCACCATCATCAGCATCATCATCGCCGTCGTGGTCAACATCACCATCATTATCACCTTCATTATTAGCAGCAGCATCAGCATCACCATATCAGCATCAGCATCAGCATCAGCAGCATCAGCAGCAGCATCAGCATCATCATCATCACCATCACCATCACCGTCATCATCATCGTCATCATCATCAGTATCAGCACAACCATCATCAGCATCAGCATCAGCATCAGCATCAGCATCAGCATCAGTATCAGCATCAGCAGCATCAGCATCACCAGCATCAGAACCAGCATCAGCAGCATCATCATCATCATCATCATCATCAGCATCATCATCATCATCATCATCATCATCATCATCATCATCATCATCATCATCACCATCACCATCACCATCACCATCATCATCATCATCATCATCATCGTCAGTGTCAGCGTCATCTCCTCTGATGCTCCCCTCCCAGCGACTGGGGGAAAGCCGACGCCTTGGCAGAGAGAGCGGCCGGGCAGCCGCCGCTCCGCAGCGGGCCGGGAGCGCCGCCGGGCGCGGGAGCACCGGCTCGCGCGGCGTCGCCCGGGGCGCCGCCGGGAGGCGGGCGCGGATGCCGAGGGCGAGCTCCTGCGGGGAGGGCCAGGCAGGCCTCGGAAGAAATGAGCGAACACTCATGGGACGCCCGAGGACACAGTAGCACGACGCGTCCTCCTTGGAGGCGTGCGTCCGACCCGAGCATGTAGCACGACCACCTTGCAGTACATCGTTTCCCGAGCGGTATGGCCAGACAGCGGTGTGGGGCATCATTTCTCGGCGCGCGCGTCGCTCTGTGGGGGTGGGGGCGACGCACACATGCCCATTCATCTGTCAATCAAGTCAAATTGCATAGGAAGGATGCGCAGTAAGGACGCAAGGGCCTAGGAGGGCCATGTTGGCGTTTTCGAAATGGGCTGGCCAGCGAACGTCGCCAAGGGCCAAATGGACAAGAATGCAAAGGTAGCCTTGGAAAGTCGCTCATCCTTACCATGCAACTTGACTGTACCCCCGCCCCCTCCCCAATGATCAAAGTTGACGGTGGGATTAATCAATTGCACTTCGACCGCAATCTGCCCCGCGCGTGTCCACTCTGCATGTGGGGGAGTTCCTCTGCCGGAGTTCTGTGGCAACTCATGGGAGCCTCCCATGTCATCTTGCTGGCTCTTGCTCACTGACGCTAAACGACGCCAACCGACGCTGGTCGACGCAGAATCGACGCTAGCCGACGTCAAATCAGCGCTGTCTCATCGACCGCCAGACGCTGGCGCACGCTAATGCACTCCTCGGTCGGGAACTGTTGCTTAGTGTGTCGCCGCGACGGCCCTGGAGACATGCTATTCCTTCCAAGCGGATAGCGTGTCGCTCCGCTCCACGGGGCGGGAGGCTGGTGAAAGCTCGGCACGTGGACGTCTGGGGACCGCGATGTGGACAGCGTGCCGCCATACAGAAGGAATTGCGAGGACAGACAACGCTCCCATGAGTTGCTGCCGGTCTCAGAGGAATCGTAGATGGACAAACAAGTGGAGCCCTTGACACCGCGTCCCCTCCTCCCCCAATTTCGAAGTTGGCCCCAAGCATTCGGCAGCACAGGCGTGAGAGGACAAACGCCGTGGAACCCCAGGGCCTCTGGGAGGCCGAAGCCAACTTCGAAAGAAAATAGAGGGGGGAGGGGGGAGGGGGGGGGGGGGGCGAACGCGGGGTCGAAGGCGAAGGGGCTCCACTTGTATGTCCCCTTGACGCATGGACAGGCGAGGGCCGAGGGGCGGCGGTGGGCCAGGGGGGCGGCGACGGGCGAGCGGGGGGGTGCCCGAGGCTGGGGCAGGGCGGGGGCGCTGATAGGCCGAGGAGGGCGGCCAGGGCCGAGGGGCGGCGATGGGCCAAGGGGGCGGCGATAGGCCGAGGAGGGTGGTCCCCGTGCTTTGTTTGTGTCTGGAGTGGAGGATCGTGGAGGGAGGGCGGGAGAGGAGGAGGAGGAGGAGGAGGAGGAGGAGGAGGAGGAGGAGGAGAAAGCGAGGGAGGGAGGGAGGGAGGGAGGGAGAGGAGGAGGAGGAGGAAGAGGAGGAGGAGGAGGAGGAGAAGGAGAAGGAGGAGGGGGAGGAGGAGGAGGAGGAGGATCACTGACCAAACTAGGCCACTAGGCGCTTTGCCCGAGGAGCCTCCGAGGCAACGCCCAGGCGAGGCCCCATTTGGTGTACCGTCAGGCCCGCGCGGTCCTTCCATCCCATCGTACTCTGTACATCCTTTCTTCACTCACGACTTACACCTTATCCCATCCTTCTCGTCTTGCCTTCGCCAGGGAAGAACCGACGGCGACTGCTGCGCTGCGCGGCCTGCTGGCCCCAAGCTCGAGCCCGTATTTGCTGCGCCAGAGTCCGTCGCCAGGCATCCGGTCTACCGACGGCGCAGGACCGCGGCAGAGGAGACGCCTGACGGCACTCAGGAAGCCGAGCGCCCTGAGGAAGTGTACATCCTCGGCCAGACTGGGGAGGAGGGCCTGGACCTGCCCCACCCCTGCTGCGCGGGCTCGCGCTCGAGCTGCGCCGTGAAGGCGCTTCCTGGCGAGAGCACACCAGTCGGCCCCGACCTTCTGAGATGAGTGCACAACGGGGGAGGGCTTTTGCCTCGCGCGCCGACGTACGCGACCTCGGCTGTCACCATCAGACCCACCCCGAAGATTTCACAGATGACGCAGCTAACCGCAACAGCTCCATGGGGTCAGCCTCGCGTGCAAGGAGAAGCGGTGGATTTGGGTGAGGCCCTCTCAAGGAGGCATATTTTGTTCGCGTGATTCATTTCCCCTTACCTTGCTTCATCTCTGTTCGTTGCCTGTTTCCTTCTCTACCCAAGCCTTTCGCATGCCATCGCTTGCTGACTTATCCCGCCGCCGCTCTGATGTGTGCAAAGCATATACGTTTGAGGTGTGACGGGGAGGCGAGGCTGAAGGGGAAGTTTGGACTAGAACTGGCAAGAGCTTCCCGCAACAGAAGGAAGGCATCGACACATGTTACAACCATCTTGGGCAGCACATTCCGATTGCGGTCGAGAGAAGCATTCCGATCGCGGCCCAGAGCACATGCCCAGCGTACGATCGCATGGCCCGCCCCATTCTTCATGCCCCCTCTCCGCTTCCCCCGTTCCCGCCCGATGCCCGCAGAAATGCAACTTTAGATACGGCACTTCTTTTTCACTTGGCAACGCCTGCATGTGCGATTAGCTCGCCTTTGCGCAACGATTGCTGACCCGCTCCGCCAGCCTGTGCCACCAGCCAAGAAGTCGGTGACGGAGCCACCAGAAACCCCTTGAAACGGAAAAGAGCAACCCAACTGCAGGTAAAAAGCAAGCTAACCGCAGCAGGTACCCTGGGAACCCGATTTAAGCTTACCATTTTCAATAGGTCGACCGCCCATCCTCTTCCCCTCCGCCCCTTCGATTACGCTCTTTCCCCCTTCCACACTCACCTCGGACGCCGACGCAGCCATTGGATGGGAGACATCGTATGAGCGCCGTTCATATTTAAACTGTGCGATCGAGCGCCTTGCGTTTCAGCTCGTTCACCTCGGACCTCCCACCGCCACCGCCCCCCGCAAGAAGACAGGTCCGAGCGAGGTCGCATGGCGACTCGCGATGCCCTGGGGCTCAACCGAAGGCGTACGCCCACCCCAGCCGCCGACGTAGCTCGCCTGTGCAAGGAGCTATCCGCTGCGGCCGCACCGAGCCTTCCCCCTTGTGCCGTTGCCGACCTTCAGCTGTTTCACCGCTGCCGCCGACCCTCCCGCGCTCTTGGGGAAGGAGGGACGGGATTTCCCCATTCATCGTTTTCCTCCTCTGACGTTTCTGACGTTGCAGCCAACGTGAACGAACTTCGCAGGCGGCAGCCGAATTTAGCAAGGAATTGCGTCGGTCGAATCGAAAGACGGCGTTGGCGGCAGCATAACTATAGCACCGTGGACAACACCTTCGGTTCCACGGACCTCGGGCGCATTTTGCGTGACCGGCGCGGGGGAAGCACCCCAGGGCCTCAGGCCCAGATTCTTTGTGCTGAAATGATGCAAATACCGCAGAGCCGCGACAGCGGCGCCGCTCCCGCGGCACGACAGAGCCCATCACAGCATGGTTTACCTGCTCGGGGCTACGACTAATGGCAAAGTGCGTCACAAAGTACGTCACACGACACGGGCCATCGGAGGGCCAGCCCTGCAAGGGCACGTTCAATACAGCATTACCCTCATCACGACGCTCCATTGAGGGCGCGCAGGTGTGCACGGAGTTCGCCTGCATGTTTCAGTTTTGTTCTACATCCCTGTACCGCCATTCTCGGCAGCTGGCGAGGCGACGACTTCCTTTTCACTGCCACTTTCTTCCTTTTCTGGCTGCTGGAGGGTCCTGGACCTCACATACATCGTGCTGGCGTCCGCGGGCTAGGTGGGTAATCCTTTCCCCGGCCGGCGCTTTCGACGTGGAGCTGGTGGCCTTGGCACGCACTTCCTCTAGAGCGTTGGCCCCCCGGGCCCTGCGTCTTCTGTAAGTCGCCCGTCGCTTGAGTCTCGGTAAAGCAGTCCACGGCCAACGTCTCTCTCTTGTTTCCTGTCCTTGGCGGAGTTCTTCTCCTGCATGTTCATCAGCGGCCTTCCGACCGTCTGGGCATTCGTCTTGGCCTACAGCGCCGGGCTTCGCTTGACAAGGAGTTCATTTCCTTCAGTTCGGCGTGAACGTTATCTTTATTTTTGGTGCCCGATCTTCATATTTTCGGGCTTTCCTTCATTACAGTATCGTGTGGACCGAGGACAGAGTCAGCCTGGTTCACGTGCAGGAGGAGCAGCGGCGGCAGCATACGGAGCCTCCTTGAGATGGTCCTTCGACGAGATTTCCCCATTCATCGTTTCCCTCCTCCCTCTCCCTTCTGGTCTGACGGCGCCCGCTGGCGCGGGCGCCCGTGTGCCAGGGCCCCCCCGCGCGCCGCCCGAGGCGGGGCGGGCTGCCCAGCGGACCTGCAGATCCCAGGCTGGGCCTGAGAGGGAGGCGCTCCTGCGGAGGCGCGAACGAAGCACGAGCGGCATGGGATTGGGGATGTGCGATGCGCTCTGGGATCGAAGCACGAGCGGCATGGGATGTGCGATCGAAGCACGAGCGGCATGGGATTGGGGACGAGGAGGACACCTTTCGCTTCGCACGGTACTATCCAGGTCCCGGCTCCCCAGTGACCCCTCCAGTGCCCCCTACCTCCAGGTGTGCCACCACAGAGGGATTTTCGGATTGGGGCCACGATGCTCCCCAGGAGTCGAGCTCCTATCGGTAGGGGGCGCTAGGGGATTCATTAGATTGCCGGGACCTCCCCCCTCCCCCCTCCTCGTCGTGCCTTTCCCCCCCCCTCCTCCCTCCTCCTCCTCCTCCTCCTCGCCTTGTCCTCCCGTGTCGTCCCCGCTCCGCGCTCTCCCTCGCCTCCAGGGGAAGACCACCGTTTCGGTTGGTGGTGCCCACTTTCAACACCTGCCGCGCCCACCGCGGCAGGGCAGGGAAGGGCTGCATCCTTTGGATTCGTTCGCCCTGAGCAGCGGCAACTGACCAAACTGCCAGGTCTGAGGAGGAGGAGGAGGAGGAGGAGGAGGAGGAGAAGAGCGGTGCTGGTCAGCGCCTTCGAGGCAGCCGTGCGCGAGCTGGCGTGTGCGGAGGGCGCGCGGGTCGTGGTCGCCAGAGTCGAAGAGGCTGGAGCGTGTATATATATATATATATATATATATATAAAGAGAGAAGAAGAAGAAGAAGAAGAAGAATAAGAAGAAGAAGAATAAGAAGAAGAAGAAGACGAATAAGACAAAAAAGAAGAAACATAATAATAATGATAGTAATACTAATAATACTAATACTAATACTAATACTAATACTAATAATAATACGAATGATAAGAAGAAGAATAATATTAAGAAGAATAATACTAATACTGAAAATAAGAATACTACTACTACTACTACTACTACTACTACTACTACTACTACTACTACTACTACTACTACTACTACTACTACTACTACTACTACTACTACTACTACTACTACTACTACTACTACTACTACTACTACTACTACTACTACTACTACTACTACTACTACTACTACTACTACTACTACTACTACTACTACTACTACTACTAGTTATACTAATAATGATAATAAAAATAATACCACTAATAATAATGATAATAATAATAATAATAAGCATTATCATAAGCATACTACTACTACTAATAATAATAATAAGAATACTAATAATAATGATAAACATAAAAAACATAAAACAAACAAAAAAAAAAACATGAACATAAACTTCTGGCGCTCCGCGTGGATATCTTGGATCTGCGCTGGGCCCCTCTCCCTGGCGCGCGGAACGCGCCAGGAGCGGCGCTGGAGGCGCCGCCGGGGGAGGCCCAGCGCCGCCAGGGGGGGGGGAGGCCAGCGTCGCAGGGCCGCTGAGCAACGCTCCGCTCCGCCGGCCCTCGCCCGCCTCGGGACGCTGGGCCCAGCGAGCCCTGGAGCAGCCCCGACGGGCCAGCGAAGCTGCAGCACGTGGCAGGCGAGCGTGCGCTGCTCCGGCTCGAGAGGGAGAGAGGTGGGCAGCGTCGGGAGCGTGCGGAAGAGGTGGAGCTCACGCGCGCGCTGTCCCAGCAGCGGGATGCAAGGAGGCCCGCGCGCACCTCGGTGGCAGGCTCTTGTGCACCCGGTGGCAGCCTGGCGCGCGGCCGTCACGCGGTGCTGGTGTCCTTCGAGGTTGCGCTTCGTGCTCGTGCGGGTGCTCGGGCTCAGCTGGCCTCGTGTGCTGTGTCCTCTCCAGGCAGGGCTCGCCCGATCTCCCCGCGCCCCTCCTGGCCCTGTCCGTCCTCCATCAGGCGACGGATCAGGCAATGCAAAAGCCATCGTGGGATCCAGGCTCGCCGCCCCTGTCGACGCGGTGATGAAAAAGAGATGAGCGCAGTGGGGACCAGATGCGATGCCGTCTTCCATCAGGCGACGGATCAGGCAATGCAGAGGCCATCGTGGGATCCCAGTTCGCCTCCCCTGTTGGCCCAGTGATGGAAGAGCGATGAGCACAAGCTGGCCATCGCTCGGGCGTCCATTCCCTGTGCTTTCTTCGGTCTCGTGCGTGGCTTCTTCGCCAGACGATCAAGGATGCTCCTCGATGGCCCTCGCCGAAAGAGAGAAATGCACACGTCCGAGCGATGCCAAGAAAGGGGTACCAGACGCGACGCGATCGAGCCTGGCCTAAGCTGCCCCGATACGCAACACGCAACACGTAGCGTATTGATACGGAGCTCAACACGTAGACTGTACACGCAGGTCTGACGCGCTACGTTCGCCCAAACGTGGGCCGATACGTGGAGCCAACACGCAACGTATTGACACGGACGTTTTGAACACGGCACGAGTTGCGTATCAAAACGGGCGCATCGAGGCAGCTAAGACAAATAAATGCACGCGTCCGAGCGATGCCGGGAGAGGGGCACCAGACGCGACGCGATCGAGCCTGGCGGCCTGCCCCTCCGCCTCGGGCCCTCTGCCCTCCCCTCCCCTGCTCGCTCGCCTGGCCATGCCACACCACGAACATCTCGTCGTGCCCAACATTTGTTTGCTTCGCGCCCGCCTCCCACCAAACATGCCTGCCCACACCAGCAAAAAGCCTTCCTCCACACCACGCCACAAAAAATGCTCGTGCCCGGCTCCCCCTCCTCCCTCCTGCCTCCGGCCACCCTGCTTGCCTCTCTCTCCCTGCCCCTCTCCCCAGTTTGTGGCGGGCGAGGACCGGTGCGCAGGCAACGCCGCATCGAGCAGGGGAGAGAGACCCTGCGGGCCGCGCCCGGCGCAGGCCAGAACTCAGGTCGGAGCCGACGGCGCCTCCCAGAGGTAGACGCCCTTCTCCTCCTTAGTGGTATCCCCCTCGATCCGGGCCGATCCGTGGCCGCAGGGACAAGCCGGACGATCTCCTCACGTCCTCGCCCTTGCCAAATACGCCCTTGCCACATACGCCCTTGCCACGTGCCGCCATCGCCCTTGCCACAGACGTCTCCCCAGGGTAGCTCTACCGAGGCGCTCCTGGGCGGCATGCGTCGTGCCCCGTGGGCTTCAAGGCGGGCTCTCATGGCTCGATCCTGACCCCAGCCCACGGCCAGATCAGTCCAAGAGCGCGGCGCACCCGATCGGTCGGCCGTGATCTCGTCGGCTACACGCAAGATGAGGACGCACGAAAAGGATACACGGGCCTTGGAAGGCCATGTCGACACTTTGCGAGCGGAGCGCGGCCAGCGAGAGCGGCCAAGGATGGGCCGAAGGGGAAGGATGCAAGGGTAACCTTGGAAAGACCCTCATGCTTGCTATGCGGGTTGATTGTAGGCAAGAGTGACCTTGGGTGCGCGGCCTGAGGGGGCCGCGGGGGCACCAAATCCTAGCGCGCAAGCCAGTGCCTGGGGGGGCCCTTTAGGCCCGCACCGACGGTCACTCTGGCGAAGGGTCACTTCTACGCGCAGCCGACCTTGGTCGATGGGCGGATCGGCCTGGACCGGCGACCCCGCTCGAGGCGCCCGGCCGACAGAGCGGGGTCGGCTGAGCTCTCCTCGTCGCTGGTCCAGGAGAAGACCTCGCGGAAGGGCGCCTCGAAAGGGGGATCCCGCACGTCAAACGGCAGCAGCTGCCCGAACTCGATGTCGACCATCTCGCGGACACCCTGGAGGGGCGACCTGTTCTGCACCAGCATCACGAAGCGGTACCTCGGCTCTGCGGTGGCGACGTGGCTGCGCAGGAAGGTGGCGACGGCGAGGTTCGGCAGGTGCATCAGCACGTCCTTCACGAACAGCAGGTCTGCTGGCGGCAGCTCCCGAGAGCAGGCGTCCGCGGCCACGAACCTGGCGGATCTGAGGCCGCAGGCCGCGAGGCGGCTGGGCCTCTCCAGGTAGGCCCTGTTCTCGTCGAGCACGAAGGGGACCACGTCCGCGCCGACGTAGGACGCGCCGCTCCAGTCCACGAAGCGCTGATACCCGGACGGCCAGTGGCCGCACCCCGCGTCCACGACGGAGGACACGCCCTTGCCCCGCAGGAACGCCTCCAGGAACCTCCGCAGCGGCCGCGTGGCCGCCTCGCTGGAGCCGAGGCCCGAGCGGGCCTCGCCGCCCAGCAGCCACTGCTGGGAGTCCTCGTAGATTTTTTTATATTTGTATTATTTTTTTTGATTATATTTTTTTTTGGGGGGGGGGTCCTCGTAGATGGCGGCGAAGATGGGGCCCACGTGGGTGACGACCTCCGCCGAGCTGGCTGCGGCGCTCGAAGCCAGGACCACCTCTCAGCAGCTCAGACTCCCTCCCTCCCCCCCTCCCTCCCTCCCTCCTCCTCCTCCTCCTCTTCTCCTCCTCCCTTTCCTCCTCTTCCACGGGGCCCCGGCCAAGGTTGCCCCCCCTGCCTGCCCACTGGGTACATCGAAAGAACCTCGGACTTGCTTCCTGCCCCTCTCTTCCGGTGCCTGTTCTCTTCCTCTCGCCGTCCTCCCCAACCCACTGATTCCTCGCGGAGAGCGCATGTGGCAACAAGCGCTGCAACGGTTTGCCCTACCTGGCAGGGGGGTAAGAAAAGGTTTTGGCGCCCCTGTGCCTCGGAGGGAGCGCTGGCAATCCAGGCGAGGCTTGCACCCTTGAAGAGCTTGCACTCGGTCTCGCCATCGAGCTGGACCTGCCAGCGGCCCTTCTCCTCGTGGAAGGCAACCAGCGTGCCCTCCAAGCCGTTCAGCTCTGGCTTGGACTGGATGCCCTCCAGCCTGACGCGCACACCGGGCCTCACTGGCCAGCCACAGCTGGGGGAGCTGCGCTCCTTGCCCCCCGTGTGGGAGCATCGACGATCTCTTGAGATCTCTTGAGAGGGGTGCCGAAGCCGACGGGCCCCCCAGGGGTGTAAGGAGCACAGCTCCCCCAGCGGTCGCTGGTCTTGGAAGAAGAACGGCGCCGCAAACATCAGCGTTCGAGGGTCCGCGCGGACCTCTGGGATCGGCGCTGCCCCCCCTCCCCCCCTGCCAGGCGCGCGGAGCGTGCCAGGGCGGCGCCGGAGGCGCCGCCAGGGGGGGCCCAGCGCAGATCAAGAAAAGAGCGGGCAAAACCCCGACAGGTCATGCCGCGCAGTTGTTTAATACTCTTTAGAATTATTATTGTTCATACTAACGAGATTATTACTGTCAGTGCGATGATCATCACAATGAGTACTGTTATTTGTCGTATTCTTCTACGTATTACTATTATTCGTTGTCGTCTTTTTCTTCTTCTTTCCCTTGGCGCTGGCGGAACTCGGTTTAGTGGGACCTGATTTGGTGATATGTATCAAAAGACGCCCCCCCGCCCCAATCCACGAATCGCAACTGCCGTCACCCAGAGAAACACCAGCTACGACAGACTTGGTTTAATGATCCTGGTCAACTTGTTGGGCTTCGGGCCCAAATCACTAACCGGGGCTTCGGGCCCCAATCACTGACCGTCTTCCCTGAACTGAGGTCATGGCTACATCCGGTTCTTCTTGCGATTCGGATAATTATTATTATTATTACGCGTCTTAGTATTAGTCTTCTTACTCTTCCGCTTATTACCATAACTCTTACAACTATTCATATCCCCTTTCTGTTTAGCATCATTATGCGGATTTTCATACTACAATGCCTAGCACTGTTACTATTGTTGCTGTCATGGCTACTACTGTTACGAATATTAACGTTATTGTTGTTGTGAGGATTACTAGTTGTAAAATTAGTAGCATGACTATTGGTCTTACTGCCGATATTCTTCTTCTTATTATTACTAATACTAATACTACGACTACGACTACGACTACGACTACGACTACGACTACGACTACGACTACTACTACTACTACTACTACTACTACTACTACTACTACTACTACTACTACTACTGAGTCTAAGAACATTACGACTGCTAGTACTAGTACTAGTACTAGTAGTAGTACTACTACTACTACTACTACTAAT